TTTTTCCCCCGGTCTTTTGAGTCAGGGTCTCCCTGTAGCTCCCTGTAGGCCCAGCTGGCCTAGGACTCGCTATGTAGATCAGGCTGGCCTTGAACTCACAGAGATCCACCTGCCTCCTGAGAGCTAGGATTAAAGGTGTGTTCCACCATGCATGGCCATCTTGGCTCTTTAAATTGAGACTTAAGTACAGCTCAGTTTCTAGTGCTCACTCCTATATGAGACAACACAGCTCTGCCTATCATTGCAGAAACCCAATATGAGCCTACCCTGTCGGGGCAGCCTGTGTTGCTGATGCACCAAGTCTGACCTTCCCTGTCTTTTGGCAGCTGACCAAGAATGGGACTGTGGAGTCTGTGGAAGCTGATGGCCTGACACTGGATGACGTTTCAGATGAAGATATTGATGTGGAAAATGTAGAGGTGGATGATTACTTCTTCCTTCAGCCCCTGCCCACCAAACGGCGACGGGCCCTGCTGAGGGCTTCTGGGGTCCACCGCATTGATGCTGAAGAGAAGCAAGAACTTAGAGCCATCCGCTTATCCCGGGAAGAGTGTGGTTGTGATTGTCGGCTGTATTGTGACCCAGAAGCATGTGCCTGTAGCCAGGCTGGGATTAAATGCCAGGTCAGTCTTATTTGGCCTGGGATGTTATATCTACACCGAGGTCTCAGGAGTGTGGTGTGGGTGCCAGTGAAGGCAGAAAGCTGCCCATTGAGGTATGGGGGTCCCGTGGCTGTGAACATGGTGCAGCTCCATAGCCCTCCTTAACAATCAAAGAAAACAAGCAGGGTAAGATTCTTAGGTTGTTGAGGTGCTTATTACCTTTCCTGTTTCATCCCTCAGGGGTGGTAAGCAGCAGCTGGCAGCAAAGGAAAGAACAGCGGTTACTATCCGTACCGTTTAGTGAGTGTTCCTGAAATACTGATTCCTTGAGACCAAAGGAAGCAGAGACCTGAGGTGGCCTATGGATTCTGTCTCTAATTTTGTAAAAATCAAAATAGCTTCGAGATCTAATTCAGGACTAGACTGAACTGGCAGAACTTAAATCCATGGTTTCTCCAAGAAAGTGCCATCTCCTTATTGGCACTTAGACAAGGGACTGTTTGAAAGATGTACATCAGTAGAAACCGTCAGTGCTGCCTCAAAGAATAAGGTACACGTAGATACACATTGAGGGTGTGGATGTTGAGTCCTTGTCATGGACCTCTCCTAACCTTTTCTTATTTAATAACAAAGAATCATAGTAGGTCTGGCCAGATACTTTCTCCAGATTGAAGTTCTACGATGAGTCACAAACCTGAGAACAGTCCTAGGAATTGGTGGGACTGGAGGGAAGGTGACCGGATCTTATCCCAGGCTGGCCTTGAGGTTTCTGTGCAGCTAAGGATGACCTTGAACTCTTGATTACCCCTGCTTCCATTTCCTAAGTGAGCTGTGTATACTACCATGCCTTGGCTTCTGAGGGGAGATTTTCTAAATTGATAGGAAGACACTGTGTTTTTATTTTTTATTTTATTTTATTTTTTTTGAGACAGGATCTCTCCATACCCCCAGCTGGCCTGGAACTTGCTATGTAGACCAGGCTGGCCTCAATCTCACAGAGATCCCTCTGCCTCTCTAGTGCTGAAATTAAAGGTATGAGCCACCATACCTGGCTATTTATTTATTATTTGTCTTTTGAGATGGGGTCTCCCTGTAGCCACAGCTGGCCTGGAACTATGTAGACCAGGCTGGCCTTGATTTCAGAGGTCCACCTGCCTCTGCCTCCTGAGTGCTGGGATTAAAAGGTGTGCACCTTCACTGCTGGCCAGCTTTTTTTTTTTTGTTCCATGATTTTTCTGAGGTTTTTAATTTTGTTTGTTTCTTAAGGAGAGATGAAGGCAAAAGCATTAACATTCTAGTTTTCCTAGCTATGAATTAATTATATTGGTAACTACTTCAGAACTAAACTAGTTAACCCACAGGGAAAGGTAAAGCAAGCAATGAAGAACTGGCCAGTTTGACCCTTCATTCTAGCACTTTAGCCCTTTGGCTCCATTGTTTAGTTTCCCCAGAGTGCATTGCTTTGAAATAGCAAGACCCTTCACCCTTCGGCACTTGTCATCGAAAAAGGCTTGGACCTAGCATTTTGTTGTTTCAGTGAACCAGGCAAGTTCTGAAAGTCCCTGAGACACAAAAATCTCTTCTCTGAGATGTCAGTATTCAAAGAGGTAGCTCTGGACTTGCTAACTGGAAGGCGCTTTTGATGCTGATTTAAAAAAAAAAAAAAATGCTTTTTTTTTATTTAGAAGAGGAAAATAGCCCAGGGGAGAAAATAAATGACTCTTGAGGTCCCACTGCTAATTAATGGCTGAGCTGGAGCTGAAATTCAAGTGGTCTGATAACTACAGTCTAGCGCTGCTAGCTTGTGCTGCATGTTTTGAGTCGGTTGCTTTTTAAATCCCAGCAGCCTTTTAGCCAGCTAATGTCTCCTGTCTCCACTGTCAGATCTGTTAGTCTTATTTTGCCTTACCCTCCTGTGTTCCCCTCAGGTAGATCGCATGTCCTTTCCTTGTGGCTGCTCCAGGGATGGCTGTGGGAACATGGCTGGGCGGATTGAGTTTAATCCAATCCGTGTGCGAACTCATTACCTCCACACTATCATGAAGCTGGAGCTAGAGAGCAAGCGGCAGGTGAGTCGCCCAGCAGCTCCTGAGGAGGAACCTTTGCCTACTGCCAGCTGCATCCTGCCAGGAGCCCAGGGCGCTGAGACACAGGACTTCCAAGAGTTCATCGCTGAGAATGAGACTGCAGTGATGCACCTGCAGAGCGCAGAGGAACTGGAGCGGCTCAAGGCAGAGGAAGACTCGAGTGGCTCTAGTGCCAGCCTGGACTCAAGCATTGAGAGCCTTGGTGTGTGCATCCTGGAGGAGCCCCTGGCTGTTCCTGAAGAGCTGTGCCCTGGCCTTGCTGCCCCCATTCTCATCCAGGCTCAGCTGCCCCCAGGCTCCTCTGTCCTGTGTTTTGCTGAGAACTCGGAACACCCAGCTGCTTCCCCAGTGAGTAGCCCATCTTACTTGAACAGTGGACCCCTGGTCTATTACCAGGTGGAGCAGAGGCCAGCCTTGGCAGCGCAAGGAGAATCTGGCTTAGAAGAAGGCAAGGAGAAGGACCTGCGTGTCTTCTCCCTCCCTGTTACCTCACTGGTAGCCTGCCCCTCAGACTCAGCTGCTCTCTGTAAACCAGAGGCAGGGAAATCACCCACTGTCGATGCACTGTTGCCCAATGACCGTAACCCCGAGGAACCTCAGAGTGAAGACTTGGGGCCCTCTTGGTCTCCTTCAGGCCTCCCCGTCCGAACGGACAATGAAGAAGGCAGTGGAGGGCAGAATTCCCAGCAGGGTGAGGACCGGACCTCTGAAGACTCTGCCCTTGAACTCCGTCTAGCAGTGTGATGTGGGGAGATACTGCCTCTTATCTATTATTTATTACCTAATGCCATTTCAAACAAGACTGTTGCTCCCAGGTTACTTTATTGGAATCTTTGGGAAATGGGTGGGAAAGGATTGTTTGTACAAGTATTTTTTAAATGGGAAACAGTACCCAGGTGACCAGCTGAATGGGGATAGAGTCTTAAGGGAGGCTGCACAGTGCTTATAACTGAGCTTTTCTAGGCCATCAGAACAAAGATGTAGGATCACACAGAATGAGCTGGGTAATTCAAGCAGCTGTTGTTTCTGTCTAGGGACCAGAACCCGAGAATTCCTGGCAAAGCCCCTTCTCTCCTGGGGTCCAGGCAGGGTACACACTCACTTCTCTGGTTGTTCTGATATCCCACCTTGGTGATTCACAGTCATACTATCAGAAAGGTCACCTAGCTGAATCTAGAAAGGAGAGAGGAAAGGTCTCTGCTTCTGTACAGAGTTCGAGGTTTCTAAAAATTTAATCTGTGCTCCCAACCCTTACTGATAAATGAGTTACTATTTGACATGTTCCACACTGGGGGTTCCTGGTCTGCAACTTGAATTATTTCTGTCATACGTTCTTAGGTACTAGAGTTTAAACCTGTCTTTTCCTCCATTCTTTTCCTTGAAAGAAAACTAGATTGGATGAGACTGGTGCAATGAGCAAGAGCCTTCTGCACCATTAGGCAGGGCTCACCCATTCCACAAGTTAGTGTGGAATAGTCTAGAAAGATAACTTGTGCTTGCTTTCTCACCCAGGACAGTCTCCCATCCTCCTTTGGGAGATTTGAGCTTTAAATGGAATATATGATGTGGCGATAATAAGGTTATCAACTAGATGATTCTTTTTTCTGTACCTACCCTCGTGATCCATCTTGGATATGTAGGGTTAGAGAGTTCTCACAGTATTCCAGTTCAGTCCCACCAATTGCCAGTGTTTACTGGACCCCTCCATCTTGGTGTTTCATGAGAACTGGAAGCCAAACAAATTCTTAAGTACCACACGGGACTCCGGGCTTCCCAAAGATAATTCAAGACTGGATTTGAAATGTTTAGAATGGGTCTTACACTCAGTGCTAACCTCTTGTCAGTGGTTCTTGCTCCTCTCCTGTTGTTACAACATCTCTACTGAACACTGACTTCTTTTTATTGATAGTTTTCTTTGCTTCTTTTGTAAAATGGAGTCAAGAGGGAGCAAAACACTATTTTTCTCTACCATTGTTTATACCGTGCTTCATTTCTGACAAGATTTATTAACCAGAAAAGGAAAATATTTTTGTTTCTCTGAGCTAGTATCTCACTATGTAGCCCTGGCTGGCCTATGACAGTGATGTAGCCCAGGCTGGCCTCCAACTTGTGTTGATCTCCCTGCCCCTGCATCCAGGATTACAGGTGTGTAACCTTGCTCAGCTTCTTTTCTTTATTTTTGGAGGGATAGTAAAGCTCTGGTGTCTTAAGCAAACTTCATGTATTTGGCAGTAGAAATAACTGTAAAATCTCAGTTCTAAGCATGAAAGACATTGCATTTAACACAGATGGGTTCTAATCCATTCTGCCTTTCTGTTCATTCCTGGTTTTGCTTGGTTTTATTATAAATTGGAGTTTTTAATGAAGTATGTAGGTCCATATCTCTCCCTAGTTCCATGAAACAGAGCTCTCTTAAGTACCTCAATTCTAGATGTTCCACTCCTCAACCTACAATAGCACTGTCAAATCCAAGACTGCAGCTTAATTGGGAAATTGGCTGGAGGGAAGAATCCTTTTAGAAGTTTGCTGGAAAGAGAGGAGGCTCTGCATACTCCATACTCCCTCCTTAGGAAGACACCAAAATAATTTATCCCTTGGAGTCTAATTATCATTAAGAAACACAGTGGCCTCTGGAATCAAATGAATTTAAATTTATAATCACTAAACTCATCGCCAACTCCCAAAATATGTGTAGTTCTGCAGGATTCTAGTTTCTTAATCTAAATCCACTTCTTCATTAATTATATAGTTCCGACTCAAACTGACCCCAAACTTGTAAATGCTGAATATTATCATTTAGCATAATAGCAAAGGGCCTTTTCTACAGCTTAATCCATCTCATTTCTGGTGCTGCCTGAGTTGAACAAAATCTATAGCTCATGGTTGTTAGGAAGGCTATGCCTCTGATCACAGAAGCAGATCATGCCAGTCCCACTCAGTCTAGGCTAGAAGTGACTCATGACCACAACTCGTTAGTCTTGGTTTCCTTTCCCACTTGCTGTGCACAGGTAGTACCTTCAGTGTGAACCCAAAGCTTGTCTGGTTCTTGGAAAACAATTTTTCCCTTTTAGGTTCTTTATATTGTAATAATGCTGTATTTAAAGAGAATATTTAAATGTAATATTAAAGAAATATTCAAAAGAATGGTGTGTTAGTCATTCTTAGCAGACTGCAATTAAGTTACTTGTTAGAGAAAGGATGCTTCTCTAGTTGATGTATAAATCTCATTAGCTCAGTTAGGAACTAATGTTAACAGTAGAAATATTTTGTGATAGAAATGTAGGTTATTATCTTTTGAGCACAAGAACCTACCTGGCCTTGGATTTTCTTATGGACCTCTTCAACCAAACCAGTCTTGTCTCTACCCTGTTAAGACCTCTGCTGTCTCTAGTCACATTTTCTGTTCCTATGTACCATCCTAAAGCGTTTAGCAGATCAGCTTCAAATACTTCCAAATTTCCTTCCATCCCATCAGAAAGTTTTATCAACCAATCAAATCCCCATTAGTTAGGTTACGTCTGTCTTGAAAAAGACAGGAAAATGATTAGAGTGTGTGTAAGTAATTCCCATCAACTGGTTTCAGGCAGTCTTTACTTGGGTTTAAACACAGTGCTTCATGCATTTACAATAAGTTATTACAGAACTACAGGTCACGGGAGTACATACAACAGCTAAACCCAACTTACTATCTTGATGCAGATCTCTTCCTGGTCTCCCAGAGCCGGCAGTAATTAGTACCTTAAGCATTTTGACCCATGGCCCAGAGAGGCAGCCACTGTCAGTTACAGACGGATTGCAGCGACACAGTGGAGGTAGCAAAGAATCTAAGATCCTTAGGGGCTGTGTAATAGCCTGAAAATTAGACCGTGAAGGATAAATTGGGAGAAGGGGCCAAGCAGTCATTCCTTTTAACCTTTTCCTTCAGAATGTTCCCATAAATTATTTCTTTAAAAAAAAATAAAAAACATAGCTGGGCATAGTGGTGCACGCCTTTAATCCCAGCACTCCGGTGGATCTCTCTGAGTTCAAGGCCAGCCTGGTCTACACAGCGAGTTCCAGGTCAGCTGGGGCTACAGGAAGACCCTGTCTCAAAAAGATGCCCCCCCCCAAAAAGTATTCAATGAATATTAAGGGGGAAAAGAAGTAGTTGGTCTACGCTGGTAAAGAGGGCAAAAAATTACTTTTGGTCATCAAAAAAGATGGGCCAGGCATGGTGGCTCTTATCTATAATCCCAGCACCCAGGAGGTTTGCCAGCCAGGATTGCCAGGAATTTAAGGCCAGCCCGAGATACAGAGTGAGAGTCTGTCTCAAAACAGCCAGGGGAGAAAAAAAGACTGGAAGGGACACTAAAGTCCAGGCACATATGTTAACTTTCCAGTCTAAGTAGCAGTACTCCAAAAATTCTCTAAAAAGAGAGACCTCCATAGTATGGCAGTTGCCCAGCACAGGCAAGGCCCTAGCTCAGTCCCTAGTACTATAAAACAAAAAACCCACAACAGAGGTGGGTGTGTGCCTCATTTGTAATTGCAGCACATGGGAGGTGGAAGGAAGACCAAGAGTTCAAGGTCATCCTCAACTACAAAGGGAGTTCAAGACCAGCCTGGGCTACATGAGACATCTTGCCTCCAAAAAACCACCACAAAATAACAAAAGACCTCATATACTGTAAAGAGCATGGCAGTGAGGTCAGTGTGGCAGAGACCTGTAGTCCCAGCACTTGGGAGCCTGAGGTGGGAGGATCCCTTGAGCTCGGGGATTTGAGGCCAGCCTGGCAACACAATGAGACCCCGTCTTGGAAAAATATATTAAAAATTAAAAACCAAAAGCCATGGCAGTCAATTTTAGGCCAAATGATTCCCACTTGGACAAAAATTAGATATGACATCACAGTAAGGGCCTGGTACAGAGGTGGCTGCCAGTTCCAGCTTAGCATGAGGGGATGGCACCACAGATGGGTTATCCTTGGAAAGAGCATTGGTTTTAGTTCAAGCCATGAGGGGAATGTTTATAGTTTCCACATGGGTAGCGTGCTATCAAGTCCATGGCACCCACTCCTCCACCTCCCACATTGATTGTGTACACAGACTCCTGACAAGTGCTGTTGGTCCCATGCTTCCATACTATGATTGTAGGACAACGCCATTCTCTCCAGGGTTCACTCAGCGCCTTGTCACAAGATAGTTGGTGGAAAGCAGGACCACGTTGTGCAGCAAGAGGGACAGCTCAGGTTCTGAAAACACCATCCGTGTTAGTGGTGTGGCTAGGAAACAGTTTGTCTTCTAACCACCTTAGAGTATCAAGCTTGACATGAGGTAGGAAGCCAGGTAAGGGGAGGTACAGTACTTCAAAGTTCCCTTGCATCATTCTGGCCCTTCAAGCATGTTTTCCTTCACTTCCACTACTTATTCACATCTCTCTCATCTTGATTCTCACAAGATAGCAGTCACTTCATGCTAGAGATGGTGCTGTAAGGACATTTCTCAGCTTTGAGAGTGCTCACCCAGGACAGTCCTGGCCCTCTCCTTTCACCACCCAAGCTCATTGACTAGAGATTTTTAATTGTCAAAATTAGGATAAAGGGGTATTACTGGTATGTAGTGGGTGGAGGCAGGTATACTATTAAACAGTGCTATAATGCAAAAGATGGCCCCCTAAATAAAATGCCTGTAGTGCCATAGCTGTGAAACTGCCTCAGATCAGCAGGCAGTCCTTTAGTCTTATACAATCTGTGCCCTGCCTAGACATGGAATATGTATATGAGTTTGTGCCCTTTCAATTATAATACATTAGATAAAGTTCTCACAGTCCTCAATAAGTAATCTCAGAAAAAAGTACAAAAATGAGTTGGGTACAGTGCTAGGTACAGTGCCTAATAATCCCAGTATTTAGGAGGTAGAGACAGGAGGATGTCTGCAAGTTCAAAGCCAATCTGCTTTACATGGCAGTTTGAGACCAGTCAAGGCTACACAGCAAGATCTTGTCTCAAAAGAAAAACAGGGACAGGAGAGATGGCTCAGTGGTTAAGAACACTGGCTGCTCCTGCAGAGGATCCAGGTTCAGTTCCCAGCAACCCACATGGCAGCTAACAGCTATCTGTGACTCCAGTTCCAGGAGATCTGATGCTCTCTTTTGGCCTATGCAGGCATTGCATGTACAGGTGCACTTACCTACATGCAGGCAAAACACTCATACACATAAAATAAAAATGAATAATTTATATTAAAAAAAAAACCGCAAACCCTAAAACTGAGTTGGATTTCTGTAGCAAAACAATAGAACTCTGTCTTACCTCTTATGCTGCAGGAAATCTGCAGCCACTCTCCCAGCCAAGTGCGACACCTGTCTTCAGCAATATGGGTAGAATTCAGGCCACGAAGATAGCAAGCCTGTACCACTCAGAGAAGAAATACCCTTGATAGTCACAGTATGCTAGGAACTAGAAATCCACAATGATCCCAAATCTTTCCAGTAAGTTACAACCTCATCCCCAAAGAGCCTCACAATTGAAATGTGAGCTACAGATGACAAGCCAGGAGGCTTGCTAGAGTTTGAGTGTGAAATGTCCTGCAAGGGCTCACACCTTTAATCCCAGCACTGGAGAGGCAGAGGCAGGAGGATCCTTGTGAGTTCAAAGCCAGCCTGGTCTACACAGTTTTCCATGTCAGCAGGGGCTACATAGCCAGATACTGTCCTTAAAAAAGAAAAAAAAAAGCCGGGCGTGGTGGCACACCCCTTTAATCCCAGCACTCGGGAGGCAGAGGCAGGCAGACGTCTGTGATCAAGGCCAGCAGGCCAGCATGGGCTGCAAAGTGAGCTTGAGGCTAGCCTAGAATAAACAGAAAGACCCTGTCTAAAAAAAAAAAAAAAAAAAAAAAGAAAAAGAAAAAGAGTATATGTCTTCTGGTAGATTGCTTGTGTAGCCCCCACAAAACTTAAACAAGGTCACAGGAAAAACCCAGTACAGAAGTTGCTGATGCACCAGTTTAGCATGGAGGTAAGGGGAGACTTGGTCATCTACTTTGTGCTACAGGGAGGTAAGTGGTGGAAACTTTAAAAGGTGAGGCATACTGAGGTCCTTCAGGTCAATGGGAGCATGCCCTGGGAAGGTGTTTTAGAGTCCAGTCCCTCCCTCTTCCCATCTCTTTTGTTTCCCAGTGGCTATGAGAACAGTTGTGCTCCAGCACACACTCCCAGGATATGCTGCTTCATCACAGTGCTGACACCAACAGGGCCAACATATCATGGATCTAAACCTCCAAAACTGTGAGCCAAAATAAAACTTTTGTCTTTTTAAATTGATAATGAAAAGCAGCAAATACACCTACATAATCTAAACTAGAAGGCTTGCCAGACGTGGTACATGTATTAGTTCCAGCACTCAGGAGGCAGAGGGAGGTAAATTTCTGTGAGTTAGAGGTCAGTCTGGTTTACATAGTAAGTTCTCGGTCACAAAGTGAGAACTGGTCTCAAAAAAACTGAAAAAATAAAATAGTAGGCTTAATGTGTAGTGTCCTTGTGTTGTTGTTGTTATTCATTTTGCTTTTGAAACAGGTCACACTATGTAGCCTAGGCTGACCTGGGACTCCTGATCCTCCTGCCTCAGACTCCAAAGTGCTGGGATTACAGGTATTTTCTACCACACCCTGCTCTAAGGTCCTTGTTTTTTGCAATTCCAGAAGAAAATCTAAACCAAAATTACTGTGAGTAACGCATTCCTACTAGTTAAATACATTAAGAAAAGAGACACAGAAATGAGGTGAGAAAAGAGCTTGGAGCCAGGTGCAGTGAGCGATTCATGCCTATAATCTCAACACTTGGGAGGCTGAGGCAGGTGGACTGCTGTCAGTCTGAGGCCAGCCTGTGCTACATGAGATCTATCTGAAAAAACTAATGACAGGCAGGCTGAGCATGGTGACATATGCTTGTAACCCTAGCACTTAGGAGGTGGAGGCAGGAGGATCAGTTCAAGGTCATTCTTGGCTATACAGCCAGTGTTGGGGAGTCCATCTTATCTGAAACCCTATTTTAAAAAAGAAAGAAAGAAGAGGAAAAAAGAAAGAACGAAATAGAAAAAAACAAACAGAAGAGCTGTGTTTTGACAGCCTACTCTAGACACTGTTCGGTACCGCAGTTAGCCTCTTACCGACTTCACTTCCTGAGCAGTCAGCTGGCCAATCCCAAGCTTTGCCAGTGCCCTGTCCAGCTGGTGAATCACAGTGGTGTGAGTCTTCAAACGCCATCTCAACAGGGGAGAAGGCAGGTACGGTGTGAGAAGCATGGCCCGGCTCAAGGCTTTCTGTGACACAGCAGGATAGGAGGAAAGCCAAACAGTTTTACTTTAAGAGCTTTAAAAAAAAAAAAAAAGCTGAGTGTGGTGGCACAGGCCTTTAATTCCAGCACTCAGGAGGTGGAGGCAGGTGGATCTTTGAGTTCAAGGCCAGCCCCACTACAGGGAGACCCTATCTCAAAAAAAAAAAAAAAAAGAGCCTGTGGAAATGAAAAGGTCTCGAAGCGCTCACCATTTGCAAGGCCTGGAGTTGGTTCAAGCATAGAGGGTGGTGAGAGAAGCACTCTCTGAGAGCCAGGATGTCTTGCACTGCTGGGTGGGTACCACTCTGCATCTTGGAGGAGGTAAGAGATTGGTAGGTGTCAGGAAGATCCTGAAGCGCCCCTCTTAGTTTTAGTGCACAGTGACTCTACCAAAAGCTGTAGTTTGGAGATAACTAGAGGAATACCTTGGTACACAGGTTTGTCAGATGCCCCCGAAACTTTTCCTCAGAAACAAAAGGGATGACCCTTTCTAAATAGCTCATGATTTCTGAGTGGGACTGCTTCCGGAGAGCATGATAAATGTCTAAGAAATCAATTTGTTGTTTTGGAGTCCAGAAATGCTTAACAAGCAGTTGCCTAGGAAACAGGTACCTAAAAGGAGAAAAAAAAATCACTTTCTGAAGGTGGCATCCTTGAGAGTGGGCTAAGCAAGCATTTGGTAAACACAGACACTAGGAAGAAGGGATCGCGGCACCTCTACCTCAACATTCTCTGTCTTCAGTGAGTCTCAGCCTACTCCTTGGCACAATCTCAAGCAACATTACTGAAATGTGATAGAAAAGGAAGCCTGGCATACGGCAGTCAGATAAAATGCCTCCTTTAGAGGTAAAGGTGAAAAACACGCTTTGGACCGTTTCATACAGAGCTGGATGCTTTGTGTAACGCTGACAACCTACCTATAGAACAGTCCATGTATTTATGGAAGAGGTCATAGATGTGGTTTTTAATTCAGTTACCCACATGAGTGGTAGCTTTTAAAAGATGACAGCAAATTCTCTGGTACTCTTGTTATGGGCAGGTGGAATTTATTTCCCTCTTTTTTTCAATATGGGTGAATCAGTCACACAACAGAGCAGAAATGAGTCTACGACCTCCAAGACAAAGCTATCAAAAGTCATGCACTCAGTGGAACACTCATTCTTGGAGCTCTGATTGTTCCATAAGAAGTTCTACTGTGCCGGGCGTGGTGGCGCAGACTTTTAATCCCAGCACTTGGGAAGCAGAGGCAGGCAGATCTCTGTGAGTTCGAGGCCAGCCTGGTCTACATAGTGAGTTCCAGGATAGCTGGGGCTACAGGGAGACCCTGTCTCAAAAAGACAAAAAAAAAAAAGTTCTATTGTGAGACTGTCATGCTGAAGAGGCTACATGTAGGCAATGTGGTTAGCAGTCCATCTTCCAAACATCCATGCCAAGGTATGGGACATAAAGTAAACTTGGACACTGTAGAACAGTCCACTTACCAGCTACATATCACAGTGGAACCTCTGTCAACATCACTCAGAGAAGAAAAACCAACCATTTACATGAGCCATATGCAAATACTTGACCCACAAATCATGAAAAGTGCATTGGTTTTAATCTACTAGGCTCTGAGACTGCCACTATACAGCAATGATAGTTGAAACAGCATGCAGAGCACTAGTAGAGGGTGTCATCTTTGGATAAGAAGCAGTAAAGACATGATGTCAATATGAAATGTGCTATTTTGCTGAAGAAAAAAAATTTGTCCTCAAATGTTATACATCTTAAGGAGTGAGATGCTGTCTGCAGGGATGATGGAGAGGCTCATAATCTTATTTCACATCCTCCAGGGCAGCTGGGCCACTTAGACCTACCACTGTGCTGTCAGGACTTGAGATGCTACTGAGTGCTTTGTTGTTGTTGTTGTTTTTCTTTTTGGTAAATTTTTTATTGACTTTTTATGTATCTCATAAAGAACATCTTAATCATCTTTATATCCCCTTCCCCACTGGCACCCTCCCACAGCCCCCCTCCCACCCTCACTGGAATTCAAGAGAGAATCGCTACTGTTTTTTAAGAGCCTTGGGATGAGAAGATTGAAACAGGAAGTTTAATAATCTCTGCCTAGCTTCTGAAATGAAAAGCTCTTAAAATAGTATTTTTGTTTTGCCTTTTGGGGGGGATAATCTGCCCCCAATTTCTTTTAAAAATATTTTATTGAGTTTTTGTGCACTTCATATAATAGATCTTAATCAAATTTAGACTCCTTCTCCCATCCGCACCTTCCCATAACCTTCCCACTTGATTTCATGTAGTCTGTCATATATGTTAAGTCTATCTGGTCAATGATTTGTACCCAGATGCCCCTCGGTGCAAGTTCATCCACTGGAGTCTAGTCAGCCTATCTATTGTTACTCCCTTAAAGAAGATCCACTCGCCTTCACCCAGCAGTAATCAGTTGCAATAGTTCCATGGCTAGGGTGGCCTGCTGCCCATTTCCTTTGTTCTATGCTAGGTTTTTGCCTGGCTGAATCAGCATAGGTCTTGTGCATGCTAACACCATTGTTGCAAGTTCATATAAGCAAGTTCCCAGTGATCTAAAAGCCCCTGTTTCATGAACCAACTCTGACTCTTACAGTCTTTCTGCCCCTCTTCCCCAATGGTCCCTGAGCCGTGGGTGGGTGAGGTTTAATACAGGAATCCTACCCAGGGACACACACTCTACAATCTCTTTTTCTCTAAAGCTTAGCCAGTTGTGCCCTTCTGTGTGCATCGCACTCTGTTGTATGAGAAAACTTTACTGGTGAGAGTTGAGGGATGTATTAGTATTCTCTCTACCCCCTGTTCTACTATGTTCCATGAACCTCAGGTGTAAAGATTGCACTGCAGATGTGTCACTTAGGGCTGGGCATCTCTCAGACAGTATTCTCTATGTGTGACCAGTTGTGGGAGCTTTGATGAGTGGTGTATGGGATAGTAGTCAGGGTGGTAGGCAGTTCTGAGGCAGGCAGATCAGGAGGCCAGGGGCAAGTGAGGGTGGGGACAACCTATGGGGGGTCTAACAAACTATGCTAGAGGATTAAGCTAGCCTGGCTTAGGAACCTAGTCCAGAGATCTGAGCTGGACAAGCAGGAGCAAGTCTCGGCCCAAGGCTAGAAGGTGGATCCAGTGCAGGGAGAGACTTATTTGACTTTTGGTTTTTTGTAGCCCAGATTAGCCTCCAACTCACTATGCAGTCCTGGCTAGCCTTGAAATTCTGATCCTTCTGCCTCTACCTCCCAAGAGCTAGGATTACAACATATGTATCACTACACAAGGCAAACTATTTTAATTTAAAAAATTCATAGTTTCAAGATGCCGAGGAGATAAAAGTCTGTACTCACATGAGCAGGAAGACCAAGTAGTTGGCAAAGGGTGGAATGGAAACGATACCTATGAAAAGACACTTGGTAATGTCTCGACGGAACTAAACAGAAATAAACAGACAGTTTTAACCCAAGTAAGTTCTTAATAACATGGATAATCCCTCCATCCCAAGGTATAGTAAATGTCTATTATAGCCTAGAAAAAGGATCAAGTTTCTAACTACTTCTAGAAGGTAACTCCCTTGAGGGTAGAATCTCTGGTTTGTTAGTTTTGATACAGGGCCTGGCACTGTATCAAATCCCTCAGTGAATTTTTCCTGATCTACAGAACATCCCCTGAACTCTTACTCTCAGCCTCAAGACTGCTGATCACTGCTAAATACTATGTTCCTACTGTCATTTGGCTCCTTGCAGATTTTCATATATTTAAAAACAAATTGGGTTTTAGTACTTAAAAAACTTATTCAGAAAATGTGCCAGAAATTCTATGGAGCTCTGCTATGGAATTCAGTCTGACAAATAACTGGATGCCCTCATGGCAAAGGGGAAAGCGTAACCAGTGATAAACAAGAAAGGAAAGAAAAAGCCTTGAGATCTTAGTTAAGTACTTCACCATGAACTTCTGGATATTTGTCCCTGGCTCATACCTGTCTCAAATGCTCCATCTCCCGGTAAGAAAGTTGGTGAAACTTTATATTGTGCTTCCACATATTTGTCTTTATTCTTCTAGCCTTTTTGGCATCAGCCCATAACATCTGTATTCCTGCCTCATTAAAGTGGAGGACAGAATGTGATGTTATCCCAGTTTCCATCTTACCACAGCTTCCTACTCTGTGTCCACTCACATGCACACACGCTTGCCCTCCCCAACACTACTCTACATAAAAGCTTTCCACTCAGTAACTTGAAACTCTTCTTAGACCAACCCATCCTTTTTCCCCAGCAAATTATCTCTTCAGCTAAACTGGGCTTGTGTGATCCACTATGGAATGGTCTCCTCTGGGTTCATCGTTCATTCCTTTTAGAACTCTAGTGCTCTAACACCAGGAAGTCCCAGTCAGTTAACTGTATGTATTCCCCAGGCAGATGTTAACTTTGCTCCTTTCTGGAATACTTTTTTTTTTTTTTTTTTTTTTTTTTTTTTTTTTTTGGTCTTTTTGAGACAGGGTCTCCCTGTAGCCCCAGCTGTCCTGGAATTCACTATGTAGACCAGGCTGGCCTTGAACTCACAGAGATCCTCCTGCCTCTGCCTCCAGAGTACTGGGATTAAAGGCGTGCACCACCATGCCCGGCTTCTGGAATACTTTTATAGGCTGTATAATTTGACATTTCTGTGACTGCATTTTAAATGCTCATGCTATCATAATCCTTACATTGATCTAGTTTTTCAAAATGCTTCCATATTTGTGAATGAAATGATGTCTAGATTGGCCTCAAAATAATACAGGAGAATGCAAACGTAAGCATAAAAGATTGGTGGCCAGTAAGTATTTTATTTTTACATTTTGTTTTGGTTTAATTTGTGTTTTTTATTTGCTTGCTTTTTTGTTTTGACAGGATCTTGCTCCATAACTCAAGATGGCCTGGAACTCTATCTTCCTGCCTGGCCTGCTGAGTTCTGGGATTACAGGCATATACCACTATGACTGGCAAGGTATCTGTTCTTGTCTCCACTTTTTAGATAAGGCTAGGTAATTTTTCAAGTTCACAAGGTTAGTACTAATTATGATGATAATATTCAGAGTTAACAATATCACAGTTTCTTATAATTGGATAAAACATGGAATATAGTAATTCTAATAGTTAATACTTATTGGGCATTTACTACAGCTCAGACCCTGTTCTAAATACTTTATTTGTGGTGATTTAATCTTCAATTAGTCAGGTGTAACGGTGCATGTCTGTAATCTCAGCACTTAGGAGGTGGAGCCAGGAGAAGTTCAAGGTCATCCTCAGCTACGCCGGAAGTTCAAGTCAAGCCTGGGCTACAAGAGACTGAATAAGTAAATAATATGCACAACTATGTGGTCAATAGGTAGCTTCTGTCATTCTCAGAGATGAGAAACACAAGGGATAGACAAGTTAAATCACTAGCCCAATAGCACAGTTGGTATGTGACAAGCTGGAACTGGAATCAGGCAATCTGATTCCAGAGTGCAATTTGACATTATATATATCATTTCGTTGTAACTAGAGGATCTTTATTTTGAACCAAAACATTCAGAAATCAAGTATATGAAGTGCCATTTCTACTATAATATGCTACCTAAGATAGCTTTGGGATAAGCATTAGAACACATGTTCTTATGTGCCAAGACAACGGATAAATCACAGGGCAGATCTGTACAGCCACAGCTCCCTCCTCTTGTGCAGGACAAAGAAATTTCACTACAGAAAGGTGTGTGGTTCATTAAAACATACTTATATCCTCCACTTGCTCCCTCGATGTGTCTACCACCACATCGTTCTAGATATTTAAAAAGCGACCATTTGAAAAAAATTAGCTTAATGCTCAAACATTTATGAAAGACACCCCAGTTCACACCCCCACAGCAGAACCTGCAAATGATCTCACTTATTCTAATGTTCTAACGTTGCTTAAGAGCTGATTCGCGGATTTCTAGTTTAGTTTTTACCTTTCATGAAGACTGTGTACAGGGCATAGAAGCGGGGGAAATGACGACCCAAGAAACGATGGTATGTCCCATTAATTGCTCTTGTCTTGGTCATCACATAAGAAATCAAGCTCTTCACGTCTGCCTTTGGAGAAAGGTGAAGCTTTGAAGACCTACAAGAAAGATCAAAGAGCCTATTTGGGAACTAATTCTAGAGGCTGCCTCACATCCAGAGTCCCTAACATAAAATGCAAGTCTGAGAACGATTGCCAAAACTTGAAATTTCTGAAAACCAAACGTCTTGGGTCTCGGGGAGATGATCAGACAGAGAGAAGGATCAGACAGAAAAGTATGGAGATGTCTGAGCACGGAGCGTGTGTAAGACCTGTGGAACTAGAGCTGCAGGCCAGGGAGGTGGACAGGGATGCTGAGATGAGCTGAAGACTCGTGGGGGAGAACTGACAGCAGAGTCCACAGGAACCAGCATCTAGTAGGGATCCTGCGGAGGAGCACAACCCCTGGCAAGACTGGACCCCTGAGAACCTAAGCGGAGCCAGGCTGAGCCGTGGAAAGGGTCTACGTGCAGAATGCCCCCGTCTCTCGGGTCCCTCACCCAGGGGCTCCCCAAGCAGGGCCAGAGCGACCAAGCTGCAGCCTCCAGGCGACAAAAGGTCCAGGGGCGACGGCCGAACTCCACAGCGCAGCCCGAACCCAGCACACCCTGGACAGCGCCATCTTCCAGCGAGGGCGGGAGGAAAGCCCGGCGCTCAGCTCCAGTCAGAGGTCGCCGCCGCAGGGCGCATGCGCAATGCTTGCACGCTGACTGGTAGCGGGGCCTCGCCTGGCTCTCTCACAAGCCTGGGAAAGGAAGCGCTCCAAGACGGAGCGAGAGGATTGGACGCCACAGCAACACTTCCTGGCCAGACACCGGAAGCAGGCTGGCCCCGAGCGAGCGCGGGTCTCAGCCCCGTGTGCGTTTACGATGCCGAGGACGCTGTCTCCTTGAGGAGCCTCTAGCCCTCCGATCCCCTGGGGCCGGGGCTCCGGGCGCTGCCCTTGACCTTCGCGGCTCCCAGGCCGTCGCGCCCGGACCTGGTCAGCTGCCCGCGTAGCCACAGGGCCTCTTGGGCCGCGTCCCGCTGCGCCCTCTAGTGGCGGGGGCTGGGGCTCCGACCAGTGCACTCTGCCTGCGGCCTTGTCTCTCTGTCCTTCCACCTTCTCTTTTGGACCTAGCTCTCTCAACCTGCGGCCACCCTTCGCTAGGCTGGCTGGCCGGCGAGCTTCAAGGGTCCGCCTGCCTCTGGCTTCTCAGAAGTCGGGTGGCGGTTGAGCGCCGCCACCCCCAGTCTTTTTATGTGGGTGCTAGGATCTGAACTAAGGTCCTCATGTTTGTGTGTAAAGCACTTTCCCCACCCAGCCATCTCCCCAGCCTCTTATTCTTCCTAGTATTTAATAGAATCATAATTAGCCATGGCATTATACATTTCATGATGGTCCACCCTAAAGATTCGGTTACCGTATTTCCAGGCCCTAGGACAGAGCTAGGTGCATAAGAGGTTGCTCCTGTTTATGAAATGAGTAGCTACCTTACACCAGAATACTTAACTCTTAGAAAAGAAGTCGCCTTATCTTTTGTGGTCTTGGAAGGTTTCGTTTATAGTTCATGATGTTTATTTTTTTTTCTATGATGCTTTGTTTTGAATCGAAGTGCTGTTTGAGAAAGATGTAGACTGAGATAATATCTATAGATATTGGCTTTGCAAGATTATAGAGACCTCTGGATGGAATCACTTAAAAATAAAAAAGAGCCGGGCACGATGATACATGACTTTAATCCCAGCACTAGGGAGGAGGCCGACACAGGCAGATCTCTGTGAGTTCAAGGCCAGCCTGGTCTACATAGTTCCAGGTCAGCTGGGGCTACAGGGAGACCATTCATGCACATAAAATAAAAATAATAAATATATATATATATATATATATATATATATATATATGAGACTGGGGATGTAGCTCAGTTCATAGAGTACTTGTCTAGCATACAGGAAGCCCCAAGTTCAATCCCCAGTACCCCATAAAACCAGACATGGTGGTGCATACCTATAATCCCAGTACTTGGGGATGGAGACAGGAGTATCGGGCTAGTCTCTGCTACATAGTGAGCTTAGGCTAGCCTGGGTTACAAAGGACTTCACTCAAATAAAAAGCCCAACAACAACAGAAGGTAGCTTGAGTAATGGTAAAGGCTTTGATAACTTCTATAACTGATCAAATTTGAGTGGGAGGATATCCCTAAATTAAAAATTTTTAGTGACAATGTCTCTAGGATAACTTCACCTTTCAGTTAGGTTGGCTGGCCAGTGAGTTCCCAGGATCTGCCTGCCTCTGCCCCCAATGTTGAGGTTATAGGTACACATAGCCATGCCCAGCTTTTACATGGGTGCTAGAGATAAGAGCTTAAGTCCTCCTGCTTTCACAGCAAGCACTCTACCCCATGAGCCATTTTCCCAGCCCCAGGACAAAATTTTCCTCTTGCTGTGATAAAATACTTTGACAAAAGCAGCTTAAGAGAAAATGGTTTATTGTTGGCACAGTTAGAATCTATCATGGAAGAGGAGTCCTGGTCCCAGAGTTTGAGGCATCTGGCTGCTTTTTGTCAGCAGTAGGAAAGAGGAGAGTGATGGATGCCGGCGCTCAGCTCACTTTCTCTTTTTTCAACAGTCCAAGATCTCAGTCCAGGAAATGGTGCCACTGAAAGTGGTCTGATCTTTCCACCTCAATCAATCTAATCAAGATAGTCCTCCACAGACATGCACAGAGGCTGTCTCCCAGGTAATTCTAGAGTCCATGAAATTGACGGGTTGAGATTGGCCCTCGCCCTCTACATAGGTCCAGGCTGACTTCCAACTTTTGAATGTCTTTCACCCACCTCCCAAGTGTTGGGATTACAGAAGTACACCACTGAGCCTGCTCTTCTAAATAGATATTTTCTATGTGATTATGTTGCTTGCTGGGTGTTTGTCTGTCTCTCAGCCTCTTTGTGTAAGTGTAGGGAAGACCTGAGAGTAGAAACAGAGAGGAGTTATCTTGCCATCAGAATGGGAGTGCCTCTGGGAAAAGGGGACTGAGAAAAAATCTGAGATTGAGGAAGCTGGGCTTAGTGACTCAGACCTATAATTTCAGGTACTTGGAAGCCTAAGGCAGTAGATTCAAGAGTTCAAGGCAAGCGAGCATGGTGACACATGGCTTTAATCCCAGCATTCAGGAGGCAGATGCCAGATAGGCTACTGGGAGACCATGTCTCAACAAAACAAAAAGAGTTCAAGGTGATCTTGCAAAATTCAGTGAGACCCTGTCTTAAAACTAAAAAGGGCTGAGGAGATAGCTTAGTCACAGAGTGCTTTCCTAGCATGATTCAGACCATAGGTTCAATCCTCAGTACTGTGAGAATAAAAAAAGAAGCAAATGAGTAAGTGACTGAAAATAAAGTGACCAAGGGGAGAGACTGGCTACCAATGAACCTCACTTTGTCATTAGTCATCAATGGAACACAGAGCACAGGCACAGACTACTGAGTGCAAGAGGGAACAATGGTCAGGGGTATGGAGGAACGGCTCAGTGCTTACGAGCACTGGCTGCTCTTGCTGAAGACCCAGGTTTGATTTCCAGCACCCACATGGTGGCTAATAACTGGCTGTAACTCCAGTTTCAGGGGAATCAGAAGCCATCTTCTGACCTCTATAGGTATTGCATGACACAGGTGTGCTTACACATATGCAGGCAACACACACATACACATAAAATAAAAAAATAAATAGAAAAAAAAGGTCAAGATTATACTCCTGAAGAATTGCTAGATATTGCAAAAGTTCATAAACAATTACCTCTTGGTGGTCTGACTGCCTGGATAGTGAGACCCCAGGATTTGGAGTGATGGACTTTCTCTGACAGGAAAGAAAGCTGAGAAAATGGGTAATATTATCACTCATCCAGAAGCTGGGCGTGGTGGCACACGCCTTTAATCCCAGCACTCGAGAGGCAGAGGCAGGCAGATCTCTGTGAGTTCAAGGCCAGCCTGGTCTACATAGTTCCAGGCCAGCTAGGGCTACAGAGACCACATCTCAAAAAGACAAAAGAAAAAAAAGCAAAAAAAAAAAAAACCTTCAACACTCATCCAGCCTACATGATCCCACCAGGTCATGAGAGAAGCATGGCCAGGACAAGTACTCCCATGAAGAGTGCTGAGGATGCCTGGGTCATTTGGCATACAGTAAGCCACTACAAATCCATGTTTCTGTGTAGGGGTTGGGGAAGGGGAGGCCAGCATTGATAGTGCATATCTGTAATTACAATACTTGGTAGGTGAGGCAGGTAGACCAGGGGTTGATCGTTTCTGTTATATAGAGAATTTGAGGCCAGCTTGTGCTACATGAGACCCTCAAAAACAAACAAAAGCCAGTTATGGTGGGGCACATCTCTAATCCCAGCACTGGAGAGCCTGAGGCAAGAGGATTTCTGAGTGTTCAACGCCAGTCAGGGCTACATCGAAGGTTTGAATCCAGGGAGATATATATAGCAAACAACACCTTGTCCCCAAAATAAAACAAAATAACAAAAATTAGAGATGTGAATGAAAAGAAGTATTTGGATTATTGGAGTGAAGCTTGAGTGCTGTATGTGTTCATGTAACCTGTAGTTCATCTGTCCTACCACTAGTCCTGCCTCCTTCCCACCCTCTGCAGAAGGAATCAAGCAGGCCCATGCCCATCATCTCTCCCACCCAATCAGTTGCATGAAGGGGAGGAGCATGAAGGGGGCAGGGGACAGTGGTAAACCCGGGATTGGGCCCACAATTGGGGGTGAGACCGCACACAGAAAGCTGATGGAGACTGCAGGGCGGGACCTGCTGGTGGCTAGCATTTCAAATATAAGCCTATAAGAACCCATGCCTTTGTAAGTCACCCTTTCCCAGATGTAATAAACTATGCAAAACCCAAAATAAAAGGTATTCTGTCGGTTTGTCAGTCCTGGGATCTCAGAGGGCTGGAGGGTCTTCCAAGAAGGGGAGGAGATATGGTGAGACAATTTATGTTAGGGTTAGGGTTTGATTTCAGGTGTGTGAGAGTCATAATGTGTTTTGTACTATGATCCCAGAGAAAATGGCCTGGTGTAGGTAGAATGTTAACAGTTGACATTACTTGGTGTGAGCTAGACATCTGGGGAGCAAGTGATGCTAGCAGGCCATTGCAGCTCCCAGACAGAGGCTGTGGACAGGGATCTTTTCGATTATTCCTTAGAATGTAATGCAGTTGTGACTGAGCTTAACCTCTTCTCTGAGGATGCGGCTGTGAATAGGAACAAAAACTTGGAGTTGGAGGGAGGGACACAGATAATATGCAAAAACAATTTAGTGAAAAAAAGCAATCCTGGGCTGGTGCTGTAGGACAGGACAGCACATAATGCAATGTTCTAGAATAAAAGAGCACAGTTCCACCAGATGTTGGGGTCATAGGAAGCTCTGTAGAGTAGAAGTGAGACCACAAGGGCGAGTAAGGAGTTAGTCAAATGACCCATGGCCAGAGCAAGAATGTTCTGGCATAGCTACGACATGTAAAAGAGTGAGGTGAGAGAAGACGTTGGAGCTCCTGGAGAGCTACGAACATCCCCATGCAGTTTGTGTTTACAGCAGATGAAGAAATGAAACAGATACACAAGCTTCCTCACTTTCCCAGCTGGAGTCAGAATTCGACTTTATCTTAAGACATTGTTCTTGGGGCTGG